GTAAGGACTGATACTCGCCAAAAACATTGACTAATGTTTGTGCAATGTCGTGAATGGCAGGAGATCTCTTTTTGTAACTTCAATTGGGAGCTCTACAGTGATTTAGAGGGCTTATATATGCAGTTTATATATACAACAGAGGTCAAAGGTTATTATCAGTTAGCAACAAAGTAAATCTAAGTGCACGAATAATAACTATGTTTGATAAACTGGGAATAATCTTGCGTAGTCAAAAGACTTGATAACTAGTTTGATAAGTGATGCATAGTCGTTAGGAAATAGTTGATTAGAAACAAAGGAACAGAGGATTGAAAATGAATTGCAGAACACATAAAACGAACTATATCGATCTAGGTTATACAATAATTCAGGAAAACAAAGAAAGCCATAATAGTAAAAGAGGCTGGATAAAGACACTTCTGAATATAAAGTTCAGGTTTAGCCCTAAGGATTGGTATGACTTCAGTCACATGTAGAAGATGGAGGCAAGATCCTTTCGAATGACTTGACCTTACATTATATATGACTCTGAGAGAAATCGCATGAAGAGAAAAAATGATATGCTTGAGAAATGAGTTGTTGACTATTCTACACTCTCCTTTTGACAATCATTCTTGCAAGTGTTGATGGGCATGCCTAGACAGTGTCCTACTGTTACGGCTTATATGCTTAGGTTTTATTTCTCTTTCGGATAACATTTTCAGTGTGAAACTCAATGTTCTCATAGGGGAGTTTTAGAATTCTCCATGAATGAAATCATTCGTCACTCTTAGTAACCTCTATGCCTTCATCCATCTGAAACCAGTTAGGAAATCTTCCGCATTCAGCATAAGGAATAAGATTCGCGTTTTCAACACAAATGTGAAGTCGGTTCTTCTCTACAGGTCAGAAACCTGGTGTGTCACGAAAAGGATTTCCAACAGGTTGTAGACTTTCATCAACAACTGCCTTCGCTCCATAGTGAAGATGAAACAGACAGCCAGAAAGAATAAGCAACAAGGAACTATGGGAACAAACCAACTAGGAGCCGATCGCTCAACAAATATGTAGGAGAAAGTGGAAATGGTTGGGGCATACCTTGAGGAGGCCGCCGAGTGACATCGCACGCCAGGCAATGCCTCCAGTGAAATCCAAATGGGAAGAAACGAGTGGGTCGCCGGTGTTAGGGTGAAACGAAGGAGATCGTGTGAGAAAGAGATGTGAGAGTTTGGTCAATCGTGGACCCAGCTGAAGAGGATGGCAGAAAACAGAAAAAGTGGAGATGTGTTGTTCCACTCGGAACGCAAGGAAATAATAGTAGTAGTAACCTCTACTTTAAGTTGATGTCCCCGTAGATTTCCTTATTACTATACCCGCTTTTACTGTTATTGATTGCTCCCCTTCTTGACCATGTACCTGAAGTTTTCATTGATTGATAAATTGATTTTTTACTAAACTGAGTGAATCAAATTCAAAATTTGCATTTAACACAATTTGTGGAGGTAAAACTTCACCATAGTTTCTTCCAGCTACTCATGCCAATCATTGAGTAGTATACAGTTTTATGAATTTATGCTTGCTTACTTAATTTCTATATGAAGGAAAATGTGGTACAATTTCATGTCGAAATGTGTAGTGTTCATACTGCGAATATAATTCAAAATAAGAAGTTGATCACGGATTGATATCAGTTAGAGAACCACTGAAAACCAAGGAGTACTGGACAGCTGTCTCATCCTAGTTTGGGAATCATCGGCAGTACGTACCCATTGCCAGGGTTCTAACCAAGGACCTTCCGGTTACAAGACAAGCTCGTATACCATTCAGCCCCTGGGACCCTATTCAATGACCAGCCCATGAATTCTAACTTCTACCAATTCGTAATTTAGCGCGACTCCAACCGATGTCGTCGGTGAGACATCCATCCTCACACGTGACCTCTGGATGGACTTCACTGGTCACGACTTCTAACTAGAACTCCAGGAAACTCCATCCTGTAGCAAGTCACTAGCGAGCATCAGATTAATTTTCTATAGTTTGCTTTGTAAGGGTTAGTTATGTTTTTACAAGTCGCGCTAAATCACGAAGTGGTAGAAGTTAGAGTTCATGTGCCGGTCATTGAATCGGGTCCTGAGTTTGAATCCTGGTAGTGGGTGTGTACTGCCAATGATTCCCAAACTAGGCTGATGAAACAGCTGTCCAGTACTCCCTAGTTTTCAACGGTTCTCTAACTGATATCAATCCGTGATCAACTCGTAAAAACATAACTAACCCTTACAAACCGAACTATAGAAAATACTAAGAAGTGCCTTTTGTGAAACACAATTGGATAATGAAAATCTTCAGTCTCCTCCTCTTTTCGACGTCGTTCTAATCAGAATTAGGAGAATAAAAAAGAAACTACAAAAGAAAAGATCTATCATTTTTATTCAATTATTAATTTTCATCTTGGTGGATGCAAGAATAATTATATCACGTTTTAGCTAAATTATGTAAGAATGCCTAGGCGATAATTTGGCTTTTGTACTTTTAAAGTGATTTGTGGCTTGAGAAATTATTCTTATTACTTTTTCTTTTTATTATTCCAGAGATTACGTAATTAGACATTCATTTGAAGTCATCTCCTATAGATTGGATAAGAACTAACTATTCAGATATTCATAATGCTTTACAGTTTTCTTTATAAATGGACTAATAAGCGTTGAATAAAATATACTTGACCCTATCTCAGCTTGACAGTTGCTTCAACACTACGAAGTGTAATAGTGTAACTACAGAAGACAGGGGCCAGGCAACAGATCGGTCATTGAAAAAATCACCAGATATATATATATATATATGTATAGATTTTGATATACATTATTATTCGTTATTGTTAGCAGAGAAGCAACGTCTTCTGATTGGTTGTTCCCCTGCTGAAGGTTATTCTGTCATCTCTTTGTTGCCGTTTCTTAGACACTCCGGTGATATATCTGCGAATCGTATTTGCACACGTTAAGTCTGCTGTGGTTGATTGTTGAGTTCCTCAAGGTTAAGCTTTGTTCTTGTTTTTTCTCATAACCCTGATTCGGGACGTAAATATTAAGGTCCATTGTTGTCTACAATTTTCTCTTGCAGACAGCTCTCACCAGATTAGTACCAAGGACATTTATTAACCTCATTCATCAGTTATATGACGATGGTACATGCCAGAAGTTTTACAACGGAAAGCTCAGAGAAGCATTGGAAGTGAAGAAAAGAATTAAGACAAAGTTGACGACTATCATCGATGATGTTTCTGACTGTAGTGGACTGGATCAGTCGACAGATCATGACAAGTCAGAGGACAGACATACTTTGAAACGACAAGGAAACTCTAGAAGACCTGAATTTCGAGAATGATATGTGTCTATCTTCTGATAAACTCGAAGATGTACAAGCAAAAAGCAACAAGTCGGTAGACGAAATAGCAAAGACAACTCTTAATACAAACAGAGAGAAGTCAGCGGTGATGAAGTAACCCCCTTTAACCAACAACAAGAAACACTAATCACCATTAGCGGGCAAAATCTAAACCAAATTCTCTCTTCCCATTTCCCTACCTAGGTAACCGAGTGAGGACAAGAGAGGTGTTTGCTGATCTGAAACCAGTTTGGAAATTTATTGCACTCAGTCTAGGGCAGAACATCCAATCTTTTAATACCGGTTACAAGTAATCTCTTCTACATGGTTCGGAGGCTTGGCACGCGAGTCACCAGAATCACTTCCAGCAGACTGCTTACAAAGACCTTTGGCAGGAGACAGAACCACTTAACAAACCATTGCTGAACAAACATACAGAGAGAAGTGAAGACATACGCTGGGGAGACCGCTAAGTGAAATTATCTTCGAGGGGAACTCGAATAAAAACGGCAAGTTACGAATCTGAGAGTGACACAGAGATGTTCATGTGAAAATGACATTAGATATTCAAGGCAACCATGGAGGCAGCTAGAAAATACACCAGAGAATATAAAGAAGTAGAGATGTGATGCTATAGACGAATGCTCCATCAGAAATACAAATCTTTAGCACGTCTTCTTAGTGGACGGACAGTGTTCTTCATTTAGACTGTTCTCATAAGTTATAATCACCTCTACTTTTAAATATCTTTGCACGCTGTTCTTGGTATTTCCGGACGGGATGCAGGTGGTGGTCGGTTCAAGAGTCCTTTGATGTGATCCGCCCATTGTTTAGTCTGTCTTTCTTCTTTGGTAATCGGGTTCCCTTGGCTGTCTTTTATAGGTTTCACTTGCGTTGATCTCTTCCCGGATAGAGACTTGGTTATCTGATATAGTGTTCTCAGGTCCCTTTTGCCTGCTGCCTTCTCAGCTTCAGTGGCCAGATTGTCGTAGAATTGTCTTTTGTCCTTCCCGGCACTCTTCTTCACTTCTTTGTCCAGTGCTGTGTAAGTTGAACTCAGCGTCTCCTTCTCTTGTCGGTCTTTGAATTCAGTCATTTTCTCTGTCAGCATTCTCCTCTCATCTATTAGCTTCCAAGTGTCCGTTGAGAGCCATTCCTTGTCTTGTCTCTTCTTTCTTCCTAAAACTGTTGAACACGTTTCGTTGAAAATTACCTTCAGAGAGTTCCAATGGTCTTCCACGGATGATTCCTCGGTGGTGCCACGTAGTGTTTCCTGCTTTGCTATGGCAGTTGCAGTGAAAGTGTCCTTTGTGGTTGTGTCCTTCAGATTTGCGTGTTGGACTTGCATTGTGGCCTATTTCCAGGTATCCCCGAGGCTTTTAGCTTCACCTTGAAAGTCCCCTGTACTAGATAGTGGTCTGTCTAGTACAAGTCCTTTCCGTCCTGGTTTGTGACTTTTGGAAACCAATAATAGTAGAATTGTTTACACAGCATTCCTAGTCGTTATCTCTAATATTTATCATAAAATAAGGAAGGATAAACTTACTCACTATTTCATAAAAACATGTAAGTTTTATAGTGTATGGTTTTATTTTATAAAAATATTGAATTACTAATCGATATTCTAATCACTTTATCAGATCGATATACAAGTGATGGTCAACATGTAACAGGAACAACTTGTGATCGTTTAATTAAAAGTCCATTTTATGAAGAAAAATCAATACAATCGATAACAAATCGATCAAGTAAATCAAAATCCGGTTATTTCTTTAGTCCTAATTATCCTGAAAATTATCCTTCAAATATATTGTGTAATTATTATTTAATTGGTCAATCGCATGAACGTGTTATCCTCAACTTGATCAATGTACAAATACAAAATTCAGTTAACAGGTAAGTCCTTTATCTAAATGAGAATGTTTCCTCTGATTAGACCTGATTAAAACACTTTTTTGTTAAGAATTTTTCAGTTAATTATTCAATCATACTTGAATTGGTGAATCTTTAGAAGGTATTGAAGCTGATCCATTTAGGCTCATTCCTTGCTTTGCGAGCGAATTATAAAGATTCATGCTTTGAAGTTTTTCTAAACAGTGATGATATTTCCACAGTGTGAGGTTGCTAGCCTAGCGTTGTACCTTCCCTCTTTTCTGGGATTATTACCTACTTGGCAAGATTAAGTATTTTATTTCCTCCACGTTCCCCAGTGAAACATACGGCTTCAAGCTAGTGGCTTGAAGTTTCTGTAGCGGTGTTTATTTTACAGGATGGGGTTGCTAGCCTCATGTCCAAGCTTCCCTCTTTACCAGCATTATTTCTGGATTAGCGAGGTAAATGAGTGCGTCAGTGGTCGGGGACCGAGCCCCGGACCATGTGCATGGTCGGCGAGCGTATTAAGTACTACGTAAGCCATAAATCAAACCTGAACCTCCCAAGTATCTGAAGAGTATTCTGATAATGAAGTACTGACGCATATATACAGGTGATTATTGACTGGTTGGCTGATATCTTTGATACAGTTTCCTAACCCTTGGAACATTGTACTCAAAGCTCATAAACTGGAAATTTTTTGACTGATTTCTACACTAGCATTATTTGTAAAATTACCGAATGAGATTTAATTCAATTCCCCTTCTAGATATTATTTCCTTAAATTAATAGTATTTCAGTAACTTCCTTCTCAACGTTGGTGGTTGGATCAGTTTGGAAGCTGATACTTAATTCATTTAACTCTAAATTATAGGGAATATCCAGAGATGAAATCGCGACTGCTCAACTGAAACTATTCAGTGAGTTGGTAATGTCTAGCTTAATATTTTCAATAGATCAGCATTCTATCTGCTGATCTTTGCTGGTCGTCTCATATCTTGGCGATTTCTAAGAAAATATTCCGTCTTACCTGCTACATCAAGAAGTTAAGACATTCTGGTATAACCCAACCCTTTCTCTTACGATTCGTTTACTCTCACATTCTGCCTATTATTCTTCATTGTTCCCCCTTAGTTTTTCCAGGGCTACTGAAGAAAGACTATACCTTATTACACAGGATGTTAAAGGTTGTCAACAGAGTAAGCAACGTGCCACTTAACCAGCTTGTCGATATTCTGGTTGACAGGCACATGGACTCATGTGAAAAATGGGCTAAATCCATTTTATCTAACTCACACCACACCCAACCAGAAGCCTATATAGAAAACTATATGCTCGCACCAGCAAGTACAAAAACTCAACCATACCCTACTTAGCTCGTGTTCTGTGTGATGAAGAAAACATTAGGCGTGATACCTATAACTTATTGAATAGTCAGTAGAACAACTCGACCTCGTCTTTCCAACTGATATCATTTATAGGTACAACATTTTCTTTCTTGCTTTTCCTTTTCTCTCTCTCTTTTCTTTTTTTCCATTATGTGCCGCTTTGCTTCTTTCTTCCGCTTACGCCAGTAAATATGATAGCACATACTTTTCTAACACCTTTAAACACTGTTCAACTTTGGCTTTGCTACCGACATGCCAATATGTTGTTGTCATAATGAACTGAGATTTCCTTAATCTATGTAGAATTCTATTTATTGATAATGTACTAACTGGATGCAATACTGTAGTAAAAACTGCTGAGAATTCCATTCTGTATCACAAGTACTGTTTTGGAATAAAGCAAATTATTATTAATAGTAGTAGTATGCCACCTTTAATTGACTAGTTTTTACTTCCGAAGCCTATGATAAGTGACACATGGTATTAGGTCACTTCTTGTGAATTTTTTATTCCTTTACTTTCCGAGTTCAACATAGGGCTTTAAGCTTTAGCTTTGAAGTTTCAGTAGCAATGTTGTTTTTTATGCAGTGAGGTTGCTAGCCTCACGCCCAACCATCCCCCCTCTTTGTCGGAATTATAACCGGCTAAGTGAGTCGGTGGCACAGCGGTTATGACTCTCACCGATCATGCACATGGTCCGAGGTTCGATCCCCCGCCGACGCACACACGATATCTATGGTCGGCCTGCAAAATTTGGGCTACCGATATCACATGCTGAGAATTCTTGTACTGAAAATACGGTGTGGCATTAAGCTGTAATCAAAATTAAAAAGATAAGGGAGGTAAAAGTATGCGCTGGCTGGGACCTTAACCCCGGACCATGTGCATGGTCGGCAAGTGCTCCATCGCTGAACCACCAGCGCACCCCAACTTCATAGATCACCATCCACCTCCTGCTGCCCACTGCATCTAGTCTGATCTAATATAAGTGATTGAAATAATCCACTTACATTCAAAATCATATTCTCATTGTACGCCCTATATGTTAAATGCTATTATTAGTGCAAAACAAAGTTGAGTGCTACTCAATACACTAGCCGTTTTGGATTTGACCCTAGTAACTAGTGCGATGCGTGTAGTCCTCTCTTTGATGCAGACTAAATTCTATCAGGCAGGTTGTAATGTGGCCACCATTCTAGGTAGCTCGCCATTACGGTGCACATTAATTTGGTGATATTAGATGGTTGGAGTCAATCGGACACAGGAAGCCTTGCTTGACCTAGGTTTTGTGCTAGCTGGCACTCGTCAGCAAGGCGTATCTGCAACCTTGGAGGGACTCATGTCCCTTCTGAGATTCGAACCCACGTCACTCAGTGCTGCAGTCAGAGACGTTACCACTGAGCTATTCGGGCTCGCGATGGACCTCCTGTAGGACTGTAGTGGATATTTTTGATTTGACACTAGTAACTAGTGTGATGTGTCAAGTCCTCTCTTTGATGCAGACTGAATTCTATCAGTCAGGTTTAACAATGTGGCCACAATTCTAGGTATCTTGCCATCACGGTGCACACTAGCCGTTTGATATCTTGTTGACATTAAAGGCCTTAAAAGTTAGCGGATTTAAATGAGTCTTTTGCATTTATTTACATACTCTGCTACCGACCCACTCATTCGTTCTGATAGAAACTCATGCCCTCGAAGAAGCTACTTTTTATTCTTCAATATAAAAGAGAAAATTCAGTTCACTTTTGCAAATTTATCTTAACAAGAAGCAGCAAGCACTAGACATCGTCTCATGGCAACAGGTGTCTATTTAGCCAGTGGTTTCATCAGAAAAAAGGCTACATTTTCTACATACTTCAAATCAGTAAGTTGCTGCCCTAGTGGTAAATCAATTTCTGTAATTTAGAAAACAGAAAGATTGAGCGAAGAAATATTTACTTTTCAACTAGATTCTCATCTCTGGCTCTACTCTAATATATATAACATTTTTATCACAATACACAACAGTTTATCAAGCAAGTGGCACTGATGTGTTAGTTAACAATAATTAGTCAGTGTCAAAATGTCAATGGGTTGATAATTAACGAAGAAAATCAATACACATTTAAAAGTTAGAAATGGATAGAATAAATTAATTTTACAAGGATAACACGTAATTAAAGATGGAGTGCTCAGAAAAAATAAAATAATTTGGACAATTATAATTTAATAGGGGAAGGGGTGCGACGTAGTCCGATTTATACATTCATGTAACGATGGTCAGGGTGAAGAACACACAGGTTTGTCTTCTTCAGGTGGATTCCTATTGCTTCAGTTGTATGCAGAAGACAAATTCGTAGAGCAAAATTAAGATTAGTAGGAATGCGCTAAATAATTTTAATTGCAATATTAACATCAACCGTATGCTCACTATCTACAAGGTGTGCTAAAATAGAGCTACGAATAGATCTTGTTTGTCCCTTGCTTAACCAGGTTGGATGATGTTCGGAAATACGATGATGAACCTCTTAAATTGTATGCCCAATGTAGCTGGCTCCGCAGCTGCAGTCAAATTGGTAGACACACATAGAAGAGGCAAATTTAGGTAGTTTGTCCTTATTTCTCGAACATAGAATAGGGATGGTTTTGAAGAGACAACGTACTTCTGCTGCATAATAAGCTCTTTTAACTGCATTCTTTAAGCGCTGTGTTATGATTTCACTGATGTTGTCACCGAGGAACTGCAATTTTATGAACATTGGCTTTTTTGAAACTGTAGCGATACTGACACTCTTTGGTGCTGAATTCATATTCTTCTCAATAAATTTATCTGGATAACCATTTTTTCTAAGTAATTCTTTAATAATCTTAAGCTCCTCATTGAGGCAGTCGTCTGAACATATTAACTTAGCTCTATGAACCAAACACTTTACCAGGTTACGTTTATATTTCAAAGGTACAAAACTCAAAAAATGAGTGTACTGACCTGTTGTTGTAGGTTTCCTATACACACTCCTTCTTAGTATGCCATCTTCTTTCCTTGCTGTGAAGACGTCTAGGAATGAGATACTGTCATTACTTTCTTTCTCTATGGTAAAGTTTATTGCTGAATATGCATCATTAAACTTGTCAAGGATGTTTATTGCATCATTCTGGTCTTTCGTAACCGCAGATGTATCATCCATATATCGACAGCAGAAATCCAAGTCACTAATTACTCCTTTCAGTGGTCCATTCTCTAACTTAGCGAGGCAAAAATCAGCTAGGATTGGACCTAATGCGGAGCGCATAGCTACACCATCAATTTGCCTGTAATATTCCTTATTGAATAAGAAATGAACATTCGTTGTACATCTTAAAATAAGTTCCTTCAAGGTGGATACAGAAATGCCGATGTCTAAAGTTTCGTGTAGTAATCTCCTCACATATAAAATCTACTGTCTCCATTCACGGTACATTGGTGAACAAGGAGGATACATCAAAAGATATCATAAACCTGTCCCTCACATTAAGATCTCTTATTTTTCCAACAAATTCAAAACTACCGTTTACGCTATGTTTTACCAATTCATTATGAAGAGGTTTTAGGAGCTTCACTAGCCATTTTGCTGTTGCATGATATGGGGAATTACACATGTCCAACACTGGTCGAAGCGGCAAACCGATTTTATGCACTTTTGGTAGTAAATATTTCTTCGCTCAATCTTTCTGTTTTCTAAATGCCTAAATGGGGATTTTTCTATATTGAAATTTCTGTAATATCCATATAAAAATATACACTGTCATCCAGCTATGTACTATACGCTCTATTTACGCTTTCATGTTACTCTTCTACTTCCACTGTTCAAGGAGCAGTAAACTCTCTTCATTTGGTGATTATTTGCAAATATCTGAAGCACAGAAAAGTCAGCTGTCAATAAAGTCTACCGGTGATTCATCCTCCAAAGTATTTTCCACATCATCACCGTTGAATTCATTTTATCATTCAGCCAATGTACCGATACTTCAACCGACTCAAATTATTCAACACATATCTGGTAAACTCACGAACGATGTACAGATTATCTCTAAAGGTCCATGCATGCTTATTACATTTAGTAGTAATAATGATGACAGACAATCACAAGGCTTTGAGGCTAGATACCATTTTGTACACAAAAATCAAGTGAAACCGACAATCACGAACGGTGTAAATGTGAAAGGCTTACTCGTTAATCGTGAGTTATCGAGTAACAGGCATATTGATGACAATGGTGGAATGGATTTTGCTTCTTCTGACATAGGTAAGTGACACTGGAGTTTTTACTACTATGGAAGTGAGTATTTCATCTTTTCATACCTCTATTCGCCTTTATGTATCAGTGTAGAGCAAAAACAATGGTTTGTGAAGACTAGGATGACGCCGTCCTTTATTTCATAGGTTTCTCTAAAAATCAACAAATCATATATACAGAAGAAAGAGAGGTAATGAATTCTATTGTCTATTGATAATCTTGGAGGATTTTAGGGTTTCATTGATATAAGAATAGAACTTGTGCATTGTGGTAGAGTAAAGTTCCATTATGGGTAAAATTTATTTTGATGAAGTCTCACAGTGTTATACAGTAATGTTTGCCGATGACGGTCCGAGCACAATTTATTATCGCTCATAATCATATCAAGGTACTCACACGACTGTCTAACTTCGCTTTTATAATTCCGTTATTTTCCATCTCTTGATTTGATCGGTGGTAGTATTTTCTATATTTCCGGTATGAGTGATGAGTCATTCCTATTGCACATGTTGGATGTAGACTCGATGAACCAGGATTCAGTAATCAATCACCACTCTCTCCACCTACCTAGATTACTTCTTAGAATTTTAACCGTCTCCCACCATGCTATTGTGTGGTTGTGTGATAATGCATGCAGTGCAATTGCTGAGATTTTTTCTAAATTACTTATCTTCATGAGATCAATCATTCTCACCTTAGCTAAATTCTGACGATCTCACTATTCACGATCTACTAGTTTGACCTATGTAGTTGCCCTAACTCACAGTCATTGCAAGTTGTTTTGTAAATTATATTATTCTGTCTTATTGGGTCAACTGGGTCCTTTCACCTACAGAGCTTGCCCTATCTGAGTAGTGAGTTTGTAGGTTTGAATGCCACCCTAATTCCAGCTTTATTGAGAATCCTACGCAGGGCCTCACATGTCCCCTCCTTATATGGTATAACAGTAGATGACTTACATTCTCTCTCATTTATGTTATCATTATTAGTTTTGCCATTATTTTTATTTAGCTCTTGACCTTTTTTGATATTCCTAGTGAATTTTATAGGATAGATAGTTATTTAACATCAACGCCTCTTCTGTCTGTTTTATTTCATCGTTTAGGTCTTTTTCTATGCTACTTAGTGTTATTGCTTGGTTTGTTAGACACTTAACTAGGCCAGCCTTTACAGACAAGGAACGGATGAGATGAATTAAAGTCTTAATATCTATTAGAATGCGTTGGCTTTGTTTTTGTAAACGCTAGTGTGTGGTTTACCTTCTTCTGTTCGTTTTACTTTACTATCTGACAGCTAATTCTCCTCGTTCACTTTTCAATTCAAATATGAATTCTATTCCCTTAACTAGTGAGTTTATATGTGTCAAAAAGCTAGAGATATGTTCTGTTTTCAACACTGTGAAAGTGTCGTCCACATATCTCCACCATATTTGTGGAGTAGGATTAAATGTATTAAGAGTAATATTTTCTCAGTTGTCCATAAATATATCTGCTACGATAGGCGACATTGGTGATCCCATCGCTACACCATCTGTTTGTCTATATATTTCGCCCTTGAATTTAAAGATAGTAGATGTGAGGCATAACTGTGACACTTTGAGACTTTATCAAAATAAATTTTACCCATAATGGAAGGATTTCAGGGTGTTCATCTCATGACTGCTATCAACGAGGTCCCTGACAAAAGCACCGATAAAAGCATTTTTTTCCCTGAGACATACGTTTATTAGCATATGTTCAGAAAGAAGGGAATATACCAAAAAGCTTAGGTCTCACGGGAGAAAACGTGTTTTTCTTTCATATTTGTTCTGAGGAGACACTAATCAGAATATACCCATAGCTAGACTGTTAACAAGTTTTCTTTGCTTTATCATTGAATATTGTATCAAAAGCAAACCTGATTTAGTCGGTGACTAGATTGCTCAATTTAGTCCCGAAGATAGACGGTGAGTAATGACATTATTAAATAACTAGACTACAGTAAGGTGAAATCATTATTCTACAAAAAAGCAATATATGAAGTAGAAGATGCTATACACTTTGACTGCGTAAAGATTCGTAAGTACTATTAGGGACTTGAAGTACATAGATCAGTCAATGACCCACAATAGTTTTATCAATAAGAATCGCACTCATTCATTCGTTTTCTTTTATTGATTTGCGTTTTGAGTGGATAACAGCTTTTCAAGCACTTTATGCAGTTTCAGTAGAGGTGGTGTCGTTCTCAAGAGATGGAGTCTTTTAGGTTTACCACTGGTTTGAGAAGGTTAAGGGATTTGTTGGCTGAGAGTCGAAGCTGTAACTCTTGTGTGGTTGTAGAGCATACTATGATTGGACCACTGACTCAAAAAGTCCCCTCGCTCCAGGAATGACGCTAGGGCCCCACGGGTGAGAGCTGCGAACACTAACCGCTAGACCAAGTTGAACCGCCGATTCTTTCAGGTAAATTGATTTCCGTCAGATACGTCTCATGATAATATTCAATATGTTACCTTACTCAGCTAATACCTGACGTATTGACTACGTGAATTAAATTTTCACTACTGAATTAGTAGTAGATAGTGTGCAGTCTTCGGTACTAAATACGACGCTATAAAACGTTAGGAACGATTATGAAAGTCTTGTTTACCTGATCTCCAGTCTTCAAAGAGGCACTTCATCTAAATTTAATACTTGTGATTAACTAAATGTGCAATGATTTCTCAAAATTAGTTATCGAAATTTTCGAAAAACTAAACGTCACACGGCCCTCAGGTTGAATTGTATTAATCTAGAATTACCCAGTTCTACGTGTGACAGTTACAAAAAATGTTAACGTACACCAGATGACCAATATTTGTCAAGTCAGTTACTGACTTCATTGATTTGTTCTTGTGTAGCTGAGAGTTTTAGATAGGAATCTCATCACTTAGGTCTCATTTTTATTGCCACTCGTCAGCAATGCATATCTGCTACCTTGATGAATTCGCATGAAACAGTGCAACATTCAAGGACGCTAACATTAAGTTATTTCAGTTTTTACCCATTAAAAACAGCCACCAGCTTGCAGTACGCAACATATCATGGTTTTCAACTCTTCTCATTACTGTTCAACCCTGTGTTTTTGTTTTCTGGCATACTCATTGCATCATGAAGTTTTTTACTTCTGTTTTTATAGCCATTGAAAAAAATCCATCAATTCTTCAGGAAAAATTTATTCAATGGGATAAAGATCCATCCAGTGGGAAAATATATTCCCCAGGTTATCCAGAAGTATATCCACCGAATCAAATAAAAGATTATATTTTCGTGGCACCACAATCTGGAAAAGTACGCATAACACTTCAAACATTGCAATTAGATACAGAGAAGGCAATAAAGTAAGAATTGTTTTGGTACTTTCATATGCAACTATAAAACTTATAACGCACAGTTTTCAATCGAAAATAAATATACGAATTAATACGTTTATTTCTTGAATATCACACAAAAGTCTGTCCACTTTGAAAACAACTCAATTTAGCTATTGATTGTAAAACAGATTGTTGAGTGGCAAGTACTTTGGTTTCGCCCGACAATGAGTGTTACTATTTCAAAAACGTAGTCTTCTGGGCAAAGTTAAACTTTAAGCACCGCTAACTACCAATCAGAGAATGACCTTGAACACACCAATCACATGAAGGAGGCATTTCCGGTTATGGAAAACGTATATTTATGGGGGGAAAATGCATAAAAGCTGCATAAAACTGTTACATAGAATACCTTTCTCTAACATGTGATAAAAACATCTCCCAGTTTAGCATAGGAGTATCAACTGAAAAGTCACACCACATTCTATACATATATTCATCTAAATGACTATAAAAGACATCCTTTTGAGATCCATTAATGCCGTTAATCCTGTTTTTTAATCTCCCCAATAGCCTTCTTTAGAATTAGTGTGTGTTTATCTGTATTGGGACCCATGAAATCGTTAAAATGGTTCACTCCATGGAGAATATGCCCACGAGATGACAGGGAGTTATAACCTTTCTTCTCATCTGTGTGTATTATAGATCCCTGTTTCACAAGTCGAGTGATAATAGGTATTAAGGTAGTTGAATTTCTGTCTGCTATCCACTCGACGAATCCTTTCTGTAGAGAAGTGTCATATAAGCCAATCACCCAGACACTGTTTGCTCTTTCACGACCACGGTTGTATTTTTTCTTCAATAAGACAGTTTCATCCCCATGTACGACGACGCCTTCTCCTCCCAATAGGGAAGTAAGCCTCTCCATTTTCCAGGATGCCATATTCCTGCAGTGCTGGTACCACTGAAATGTTAATACGACACTGTTTTCAGTTTCAGAAGCTGCACCTCTCACAGGCTGTTTTAATACCCAGTAATTACAAATAATACAAAATATGGGTTAAAGACAAGTGAGACCTGGCAAAAAATGTTCCTACGAAATATTAGAATCATCAGCTTACCTTTCCTGACACTAACTCGTCCCAAAAAAATGGCATAATGATGGTCATATCCACTGACCGACCTGCTGAGCCTTTTTATACTCATGACACCTTCACATGAACAAATCCTTTCCTTCCTAAGCAACTCCCTTTCCAGGGAGTCAAAATTTCAACAAAAATGAGCTAAATTCGCCCCAAGCTTGCCCGAAAAATCTCTATCAATCGCTTGAAACTTGATTCCTCTGTCCTGAAAGAAGCAGTTATCAGTCTTTCCTTGCCCTCGCAACTGGATGCCTTAATTCTCTTTTTCAATTAGTTGCGTAAGGCTAAAATTTCCATTCTGTATTATTGTTGTGGTTTGGAATAAAGTGATTATTATTATTATCATTGTATGCATACTTGGATTTTTCTATAAACTTGAGCTCTGTGGATAAGCATGTTAATATTGTCTCTGCACATAAACATTTAAATGTCTTTAGGCTGTACGCAGATGATGAGAAGTCAACGAAATAAGTGATGACACGATTTTATTCTGCACAAACTGTTGTTCTTGCCTTATTCAACTATAGGTTCTTTGTTTCTAGACATTAACCACCAATTTTGATTCTTTTAAGAATGGGATGGAAACTGGCCGAACATTGAGGAAGACGAGTGGTTAAATTAATGATTACAGACGCACATTATCGGATCAACCAAAAGGAAAAACTACAGAAAACCCTCAACCAGGAACGCCTGTCAACTCTTATCACGGCAATCACATTGTCAAGTAGAAAGCACAGAGAACAAAGACGAAGAGTCCTCAAAACCGAACTAGCCAAGATTAGAAAACAACAACCAGACAATACACCTATAGACTGCGTAGTCAACCTATCAAAACAACCACTATCAAAAATGGAACAACAACTACTACAGAAAGGATTAAACTACAACACCGGAGATGCTTCGAAAACTGCTTTCTTCGCTGGCCTTGAATCATTACTGAAATCATCAAACTTGAACGAGGAAACACAGGAAGAGATACGCCAAACAATTGTACTAGTGGTCAAACAGAAAAAACAACGCACACGACTCAACTCTCAAGAACTAAAGGCTCTCAAAAAGTTGAGAAATAAGAAGGACATCGTCATTCTACCAGGAAGAACAACGGTAGTCATGGAAAGAGAAGAATACACTAAGAAACTGAAGAACTACTCAAAGACGAGGATGTATATCAACAACTTTCAACAAATCCCATACAAACACTGGACAACCACATCCAAAGGACCTTAAACAAGCTCACCAAAACTGGACAGATCACAAAACAAGACCAATGGCGAATGACATGCCATTTGACGAAAGATCAGGTCAATCAACCACTGTAGTTAAGTGCGACGGTGGTATAGTGGTTAGGACGCTCGCCGACCATGCACACGGTCCGGAGTTCAATCTCCGGCCGACGCACTCCTTTACCTCGCTAAGCCAGAAATAATGCTGGTGAAGAGGAAAAGTTGAGCATGAGGCTAGCAACCCCATCCTGTTAAAATAAACACTGCTACAGAAACTTCAAGCCACTAGCTTGAAGCCCTGTGTTCCACTGGGGAACGTGAAGGAAAAAAATCACTGTAGTTATTTCAAGGTAGATACTGTCATGAAGCAACATAGGGGAGATTACGACTGACCATAGTTTGAGACCCTTCAGTAAGGCATATTTTAATTGCCAGTCACTCGGTTGCTAGATGACATCACAAGTATACAACATCATCAGAAAGTTTTGTTCTCAAACTCTGATTTGGTAGACCTAATCTGTAGATGATTTTCATCATAACTTCACGTTCCGAGTGGAACGCAAGGCTTGAAGCTTTAAGCCTCACCGGGTAGGTGAGGTTTTTGGAGTGCATCAGCTGGGAATCAAACCCGAACTATGTATGTAGTTGGACCACTGGAACACCTACACACCATCTGTCGATTATACTTATGTACATATATCTATATATTACTATATATTTCAAAGGTTTCACAGTATTTTTCTCTTTTTTTCCCTTCTCTTCACGATCAAGTTGCAGAATTCATCTCGGCGACAGATTAGAAATCTACACCGACTTAAATCAAACTACAAATCCATGGATTGTATTATGCGGTACCAAAATATCATCGAAATATCAAGCTATTGAATCATTGAATGAATTTCTTATGCTACGCTTCATATCAGACAGTATAGTGTCTAATACAGAAAAAGGCTTTGAATTACACTATGAATTCATCAATTTCACGGATACTGCTACAACCAATGTTCCTTTGAATACTACAACTACTAACAAGAATATAAGTAGCATGAGCAATTATCGTGATCATCAAGAGTCTATACAACTCGAATCAAATTTAATGGATGATAACAGATATGAATTACTTCAAAATTTCAACAGCATTCTAGACAGATCAAGTACAACTGACGGTCAAAGTCAAATTAATGACAAAAATCAGAATTATGATGTACGCATACAGTCATCTTTAACAAAACCTGTCAATGAAGTCAGCATGCAAGTCAAAGAGAATAGTGAAAAGAGTAGGTACCCAAGAGTATTACAGTATTCTCTTTTTTTGGGGGGGGGCTGGACTGGTGAGATGTGATGCCCTAAAATTGTTAATCTTTGGTAAACTTATGACCGTACGTAAATGGTCAGTTTCATTTTCGAATCTTTCGGTAGACAATGCAGTTACAACTGCTAAAAGACGCAAAGATTGTTATAATATGTATTAACTAACCCTTCATTGAGCATCAGTAAGAAGAAAAGGTGGAGGGTCTAAGCCTAAGAGCATGAAATACAAACTCACTAACGTGATATAACAATTACCTATCTAGAAAACTGACTATTAGAGACTATTAAGCATACTTTAACGAGTCATTTTAAGTTAATTAAAATAATTCTGACTGTGTCTGTCAGACAGACAATTTAATGCACATGAAGTGGTGATAATTCAGAAGGGACTAAACTTTAAAAGAAAACCAGTGAAAGCGATAGAAATAGCTCCCGTCATTGAACCTGTATTAACTATTTTACCCGATGATTAAGCTAATGAATTGTATTAGAAGATTGAATGTATCCTGTCGAATCAAAGGCAGTCAACCACAAATTCGTCGAAGAACAAACGTCATGCAATACAAACTTTAAGATAGGACAAATCTATTGTCATAACCAAAGCTGACAAAGGCAATAACACCGTGGTTCTCAGTAGATAAGATTATGACAAGAAATGTCTAGTACTATGAATAAATTAAAAGCAGAGGTATTTAGTCTACTTAGAGAATTGAAACCAAAACTGGGGAATCCAGTTTGGTTTTCAATAGCTCTTATAACAAAGTCGGCCGCCAGATTTTATGTAAGGCCGGAAATCAACAAAACCGGCGTTCCTTTAGGACAAATCATTGATTTCACTAAGTCAGTAATATATATAATTTGTCAAAACATGAATCAAGAATACTGAAACCGCTTGAATACAATACTCCTTCTAACACTAAAACGGCCGTAACGGATATTATTACTGAAAAAGATGAAATTATGGCAGGTTTTGATGTGATTTCTCTATTTACTAGTATTCCTATAGGTGGTTCACTTGATATTATGGGATACGAATTTGAAAAAATCAAGAAATATCGTTTAAATGTTTATTATCAATAGAAGTTATAAGATGCTTAAAACTTTGTTAAGAACCTACATTACTATTATTGTTTCTTTTAGTTCCTAGAGGAACATTGGGCTTCACTCGCACCTCTCCATTGCGTTCGGTTCTCTGTCAACGCTTTTACCTGCCTCCACGTCTGACCACATGCTTTAATCTCCTCTTCACATGACCTCCTCCATGTCACCCGACCCCCGCACTGACGACCAACTCACCGCTTCCCATTTGGGTTCGACTCGAGCAATGGCCTGGTGTATGACGTCATTCAATTGATGGTTTTCTCAGAGTGTGGCTCAACCACCTCCATTTCTTCCTGCATATTTGTTGCACAATCTACATATTTTACCCTTAAAGACAAACTATACTGTTAGACAAATCGAGTTGCAATGGAATCACCAACATCCTCACTTGTAGCAAATCTTTATATGAAAGGTCTAGAAAGAAGAGCACCAGTTCTGACTAGTTCTATTTGTCACCTTAGAATATAGTACAGATATGTAGATGACACATTTACCACCATTAAGAAAGCTAGAAAAGAAAACCTTCTAGAACAGAATAGCTCAGTTTCAAAATCTATAAAGTTTACAAATGAAGTTGAATCGGATCAGGGAACTCCGAAATTTCCGGATTATCTTGTAAAAAGGCAAACTGACGGAAAACTAAAGCCCACGACATGGAGCAAACCGACACATTCAAATAAATATTTCAATTTCCAATCAGATCATCCAATAAGACTGAAAGTTTCAGTAGCCTTAAATCTCATTAACAGAGCTAGAAGCAACATAAGCGATAACGATAAAATAGAGAACGAAATCTCCCACATGAGACAAATTATGTTTAGAAATGGTTATCCTGAAAGCTTCTAAATGAAATTATCAATAGAAATGGGAAGAGGGAAAAGAAGATTGAAAAGTCTTGGGTACTGATGACAGCCATTCCATATCGAAATAACATAGCTGAATAACTTCAAAGAGTACTTCCTTCATACAATGTTAAAGTCTATTTCAAGCTCTGTAATTCTTTAGGGAAAGCTTTAGTGAATGTCAAAGATATATTTCCAAAAATGACACAAAACAAATATGCCTATAGGATAAAGTGTTCAGAATATGAAGATTGCCATATAGGGGAGATCGTGACACAGGTGAAGGTCAGAGTGAATGAACACAAGTGGTGCACGAAACATCCATCTAGAAATGAAATGGAATTAAAGAGCTTTGAAAAAGGATCAACTATAGCAATGCATGATATAGAAAGTGGGAATAAGATCGATTTCGACAATGTTGAAATTCTAGGAAGAGATTTTCATTCACATAAAGAAAGGCTGACCTCTGAAGCCTTGCATATTTCAACCACATTGAGCGCAGTAAAAATAAGAGAGAAGGGATAGACTTATTACCTATGTTGCAGACTCTAATGAAGCAAAACAGTTGAAAAAAAGGAAAATAAATATTCACTCCTAGATTGAGACCCCTGAACTGACGTGTTTTCCATACAACAAACAACATACATTAGATGGTTGGAGGTAATCGACAGGAAGCCTTGACTAGCCCTAGGTTTTGTGCTAGTTGGCACTCACAAGTCAGCAAGGCGTATCTGCAACCATTAAGAAACTTATATCCCTTCTGAGGTTCGAACTCGCATCACTCGGGGCTGCAGTCAGAGACGTTGCCATTGACCTATTCAGGCTCGCGATTGACCTCCTTTAGGACTTTATGGGATATTTTCGATTGAACACTAGTCAGTAACTAGTGTATTGTATAACAAATACACTCATAGAGACAAATGTGCACATTATATATATGTATATTCAAGTATTGGTTTGTAGGTACTTGAGTGATTGGTTACAGGATTTCATCATGAACTGATATCCGTTAGAGAACGATTGAAAGACCAACTAAGAGTACTGGACAGCTGTTTCGTCAACCTAGTTTGAGAGCCTTCAACAGTACGCACCCAACGTTAGGGTTCGAACCCATAACCTTCTGGTTACAAGGCGAGCTCGTAGACCATTAAGCCACTGAGACCCGATCCAATTGCCACCGCATGAATTCCAACTTCTGCCAACTCAAGACATAGCGCCACTGCTAGCAAAAATGTCTTCGGTGAGTATTTATCCTCACGCCCGACCTGCTGTACCCTAATGGTCACAAATTCCCAACAGAACCCCAGGTAACTACCTACCTCAATAGGGCCAGTCGCTAGTGGGTATCTCACTGATGACTAAGTATTGGTTTGTAGGAATTTGATTGATTAATTACAGGATTCCATATACCTATTCATATATATATATAATTCTTCAATTTAAACGGAGCACAATATTTTCTTTCCGTGAAATATTTCTATTTATTTACAGAAACGTGTTCATTCATAATTGAAGCTAATGATCAACAATGGTCATCAACATTCCAAAGTTTTAATTTAAAGGACACCTTAATAAAGTATCATGAATCCCATTATCGTAATGATAAACACCATGAATCATTGTTATGTAATTGGATGTTAATTGGTAAACGAAATCAACGTGTTCAAATTCGTCTGACCTCTATAAACTCTATGGTAAATGAATATTCTGATAATTGGATGAGAACGAGGCGGAAGAATACTAAAGAGAAGCAGCTAGAAGAGTTGGACATATCATCAACTGGACGAAGTACAACTTCTCGTTTTAGTAGCACTGTCATTGGACCAAGTTATAATGGACCGAAAATCAGGTAATAATTATCTCAAACCTTTGCTGAATCTATTTAATAATCCATGAGTGAGATATATTAAACCGGCTTGCCAATAAACATCACTGAAGACCTATTTTTTTCCATGAAGAGACTGTTTCGCTTCACATAAATTATACTCGAATCATTCCAAGGATAGTGTTAGGATGGCTGGTAAAGTTAGTTAGAGATTAATGACATTGAATCAGCTCTATTTAAGCAGGGAAAATCTTCTCGACTTTCAGATGTTGTGTGTAGCAAAACCTTATAAATAAAACATGTGAAATACGAAAATTCCGCTAACTTTGAAAGAGTTACACATCATTTTAACTGATTGAAATGCCCATTAAAATTTTCAAAAGAATGGACACGGAACAAAGAGTACTCTTTTCGATAAATTCATCATCAGGCTCTACAATTATATATACATTATAGTGAATGAATGAATTAGTCTTATGAACGACATTAATGTTGTTTAAATAACATCAAATCAATAATATTGATAGATTACAGCTGAACAGCATCAACATAAAATAAGCTGAATGTCAGGAGAATCATGAAATATAATAGTACTAATTCATGAATTTATAGTCGCCACTGAAGGCCAGGGCAGTAGTAGGCGCTGGACTTGCTTCTTTTGAACACAGAGCATTGGTTGTTTGAGGCGAATTTCAATAGCCTCTGCTGTTTGAAGCATGCGGTGCTTCGATGATTTGGCAATTTATTAGGCACCCGGTAGATTATAGAGAAGGATTCTTCCACGCTGGCTTTGTGGCTGGTTTGCACCAGATGGTCCAATATCGAACCATGTAATGGTTTTAACTATACATTTACTTAGCCATAGTGGGAGATGTTCTCGAGTGAGCACGAAAAATCAAGTTCCTAAACCAACGGCCAATATAACTCGCTCCACAAGCGCAGTTGAATTGATAGATACAATTTGAAGTAGCTAGTCTAGGTACTTCATCTTTCAATTGAAGAATCACCATCGATCGTGTAGAGAATAATAAGTGTAGTTCGCCAGCACTAAAACTTCTTTGAACTGATTTTCTTAATTTCTTCTTAATTAACTCGCTTGGTATATTGCCCATGAATTGTAGTCGTATATATAAAGGCTTCTTGTTTACAGACAGTGAGTAGTCCATTTCCGCTTACTTTGTCATGTGTTTCTTGATAAATTTGTCAGGATAACTATTTTTGATCAAAGTATCATAAACAATGCTTAATTATCTTCATTTACTTCTTCTGAGCATATAGCCTTAACTCTGTGGCTGAGGGTCTTCACTAAATTCCTTTTGTAATTGATAGGAACGAAGCTGTGAAAGTGTGTATATTGTCCTGTCCAAGTGCTTTTTCTATGCAAATTTCTTTTTATGCTACCGTCTGGTTTTCTTGTAAGCAGGACATCCAGGAAGGCAATTCTGTCTTGGGATTCCTCTTCGCATGTGAATTTCATAGCCGAATGTACTTCATTGAATTCAATAATTATTGTACTCCTATCAGAACAATTGTCAGAAAGAATAAAGGTATCATCCATATATCGGCAAAAATGAGAGCTTACTGATAAGGTTGTTAAAAGGTCCATTTTCTACCTTACTTACAAAGAAATCGGCCAGAATGGGACCTAATAGGGAGCCCATCACCACCCCGCCCACTTGCCTGCAAAGTGTACCGTCAAATTTGAAGTTTATATTCATGATGCATCTTAATATCAAGTCTTTTAGTATTTCAATATGGATTCCAATGTTAATCAATGTTTATACATCAGTTATTGTCAATTAAAAAAAAATTCATATCATCAATTTGTATTTCAATTCAATAAACCAAAGATATCAGCGAAGCAACTTCTTTTCTTTTGACGATTTTATTTTCAAGTATTAGTTCGTAAGGATTTCAGTTAGAGAGAGAACTACTGCAAACCAGCAGAAAATACTAGACCACCGGGGATGGAACCAAGAATCTGTAGGCCTGATCGTTGATCATTCGGACACTGTCATGGAATCCAGTCGTCCATCAGTTATAACTTCTGTCAATTCCAGATTTTCTGTCAACCAGTATCATCCACAAGTATTTGTCCTCACATCTACCTTCTTAGATCCTATTATTTACGACTTCTAAGCAGAACTGCAGACAGCTGCGTGCCGCAGTCAGATATTAGTGTGTATCAGAATTTCACAACTCTACAATTGTATGGTTGGAGGTGACATCGCTTAGAGAACCGTTGGAAAACCAACTAAGAGTACTGGACAGCTGTTTCGTCAACCCAGTTTTGGACTCTTCATCAGTACGCACCCACCTTCAGAGTTCGAACCCACGACCTTCTAGTTTCAAGGCGACCTCGTAGACTGTTAAGCCACTGAGACCTAATTCAATGGCCAGCCCGTAAATTCCAACTTCTGCCAATTTACAGCACAACGCGACCACTAGCCAGTTGTACTTACGTATGAATCACAATAAACAGTAACACATAGTTCACATTGCGTGTGTTAAAAGTTTTCAGCAACGAATAGAAATGCTAATTGCGATGATACTGCTATAGATGATTATGAATCACAAGGCGATCAGACATGTAAATGAATAAATAAATAAATGAAGATCAACAAATGAAGTTCAACAGTTATACGTAAAATGGATGACAGGAAGATAAAGCACATTCGGAAACTTGAATATATGTAGATTTGTCATGCTGAAATGTAATAAAATTGGAAAACAACGTCAGTGAACATAGCATAAAGTGAAACATAACAAAATTAAAAGTGCAGCAACATAAAATAAATAAGAATAAAAGAAGTTTTGTGTATGACATTATAAAATTAAGATCATGGTAACGAAAGAGAGTCGGCGACCATGCCACGTGGAAAGCACCGGTTCTCGTCCGATCACCGAAGTTAAGCAACGTTGGGCCCGGTTAGTACTTGCATGGGTGACCGGCTGGGAATACCGGGTGTTGCCGGCTTTAGCGTCGGTGGTACAGGGGTTAAGACGCTCACCGACCATGCACATGGTCCGGGGTTCGATCCCCAGCCGACGCACTCCTTTACCTCGTTAAGCCAGAAATAATGCTGGTAAAGAGGAAAGGTTGGGCATGAAGCTAGCAACCCCATCCTGTAAAAATTAAACACTGCTACAGAAACTTCAAGCCACTAGCTTGAAGCCCTATGTTCCACTGGGAACGTGAAGGAATAAAAAAATGAAAGAGAGCGTGAAAATTGTCTTTACACTAAAAGTTCTGGTCTTAATGCTATGTATTACCAAAGCTTGTGCAGTAAATAGCAAAATACATTCATGTCCCTTTCAGCAAAATTCATCGGACCCTTTAGACTTTGTTAAATGATACATCTTCCTGTGATCTGTTTGTGAATATCTAATGAACTTTGTCCTGGACTTTCTTTACTCTTTCATATTTCTAATCAGTTTGTCACACTTTAGTATTCCCATTCATTGTCAGATTTAATCAAACACATACAGCAAACTACTTGTTATTTTCTATTAGAATTCATATATAAGTACGGCTGTGCGGTTATGATATTTGAAACCACTCAAAAGAGAATTTCCTTGTCTGATACCTTTGATTCATTAAAATGAAGTGTGAATTGATAACGGATATTTATTTGAAGAAAACGGACAATAACTGACGTCTAACTCTTTCAAAGTTGGTAGAATTTTCTTTATTCAAACGTTGTATTTCTAGTCTCACTTTTTAGATTTCCTCACAAACTAGCATTGATCATTTACAGCCACTATTGAAAGGCTTTTATACACTCAATATCTGAGAGTCAAATAGAATTTTGGTGATTAAATAGACTTGATTCAGGTATGATAGGGGAGATTTGTAGGTCAGGTGGATGATTTTGATGTGATTGTGTTCTCTGAGATGGATAGTTAATTTGCGAAGCTTTCATTGCCTCACCACCAGGCAACATCTTCAGCGCATACTTCAATTTGCTGAGGTGAGCTTTCAGATTTCTTCAAGAGTTTATTAGCCATCTCTCCGAAGGACCTTGAACGTGACTCTTTGGTTATTTTTGTTTGTTTTCACACCCTCTAGGATACTTGTATTGGAAATGGTTGTTTCCTTGACTTGAACTTCGACCCTTTGTGTGTGAGATTTCCTTCTTATCGATTGGTAAATTTTGTCTATGTCAATGTGCCTATTGATTGACGATTCACTGGAATGCCAAGCTTCTCAAAATTCTCTAGCATTCTTGGTGTTTCCTCTGTCTAATACATGAACGTTGTCCGAGTCGAATTGATGTCCGTGGTTGTCTGTATGTAGTGATGTGAAGGAGTAGATGTCATTTCTTTTGACGGCTAGTTTATGAAGTGATTTTGTTGGTTTATGTGCGACGTCAATTCCTAAAGGTTTGAAGAGTCTTGTAGTGATTTCTGAGATGTCCATTATATATGGTACGATATCCACTCCCTCATATTACTACATACAGTCAACCAAAGACATCAATTCGACTAAGACAACGTTCATGTATTAGACAGAGGAAACACCAAGAATGCTAGAGAATTTTGAGAAGCTTGGCATTCCAGTGAATCGTCAATCAATAGGCACATTGACATAGACAAAATTTACCAATCGATAAGAAGGAAATCTCACACACAAAGGGTCGAAGTTCAAGTCAAGGAAACAACCATTTCCAATACAAGTATCCTAGAGGGTGTGAAAACAAACAAAAATAACCAATCATGTTTAAGGTCACCAGGAGAGATGATTAATAAACTCGTGGAGAAATCTGAAAGCTCACCTCAGCAAATTGAAGTATGCGCTGAAGATGTTGCCTGGTGGTGAGGCAATGAAAGCTTCGCAAATTAACTATCCATCTCAGAGACCACTACCACATCAAAAGAGTTGACTGAATATTACCTATGTTCGCCTATATTTATCAGTCTTTAATCCTGAGAAAAATCATTCGAACGTTATTGATGAATGATTGCAATTTAATATGTGCAGGGCGCACCGGTTTCTTCATGGATTCAAAGAGGTTTTCATCGTT